TGAGCTTCCTGCTTTTGCTATCTTGGCCTCCCCTGCTGAGGGCTATACATACTGTGTGAGAAAGTGGAATAAAGGCTTGTCTGCAGAACCTGAAGTTGTGTTGCGTGTTAATCCCGACGTCCCTCGCTCAGAAGAACGGCAGTTCCTGTGCTGGCGCGGCAGTGCATCTAACTCACAAGGGCACACACATAATACAAACACAGTTTTTCAAAGAGTTAGTAGGTGTTCTGTATAGTCTTTTTTAGGGAATAGGAGAATACTTCTGTGTTAGTCAGCTTTCTGTAACGATAACAACATACTCCAGACAATCAGCTTACCAGGAGAAACGATTAACCCAGCATGGCGGCCCAAGTCTGTAATCCACCTCTCATCTTGTCATGGATATGCTGGGAATTCAGATGCACAACATTCCACCACAGCTAATATTGTCTTGAGTGTGTGGTACTGTACGGTTACTTGAAAGCTTTATTTCAGAATTGAACCACAGGAGAATCTTTGTTTATTTGTTTGTTTGTTTGTGAGACAGGGTTTCTCTGTATAGCCCTGTCTGTCTGGATCTCACTCTGTAGATCAAGCTGGCCTTAAACTCACAGAGATCCACCTGCCTCTGCCTCCCGGGTGCTAGGATTATGTAAGGAGCCGTCAGAACATCGCCATTGTTAAATGGTGCTGGCGTCCTGCAGCTTGGAGGTAAACAGATCCTTTGAAGTTGCCGAGTGGGCCTTGGTCTGTTTTTGCATAACTGAGCCTTGGTTCCCTGGCCTGTCCCGAGGCCCCGAGCTTCAGCAGAATGGTATTCACCAATCAGAACAGTGTCCGAGCCTCTCCACCCTAGAAAAGCAGCTGCCGCTTGGCTTATCGCTCTCTCTCGTTCCCCATTCCCCCTTCAACCGAGTGGCTCCAATAAAGTGGTGATTTGGGAAGAATTCTCGATTTCGTGGTCGTTCCTGCTTGCTGGTCAAGAGGTGCGTCTCACAGGATTAGAGGCATGCACCACCATGTCTAGCTTGACTATGACTCACCAGGAGGCTTCTTAGATGCTTGATGCTTTTCTCAACATGGAAGTTCACTCCATTCGTCTGCGAACTGAAGGCAGCCTCAGTCTCTTGGAACGTTTCAAGACACATGCCTCCTGGGGAAGTCCCTCAGCCCCAGTGTTCCAGAGTAAAGGTCCAGCTTTAGAATTTGGGCAGGTGCTTTGAATCTCGCTGGGGCCTCCAAAACAAATGTTAATCCCACTGATCGAGAATAAAAGTACTCTACAGTTTAAAGAAAAATTAGAAGCAAGCTTTAATTAAATACTGACCAGGTAGATGTGCTCTGTGTCCATCCCTGGGTTTCCAGGCTTTCCAGTGGCTTACGTGTTTCCCATCAGGTTCAATCAGGGGCAAACACATCCTGCCTGTGAACCTCCCGCACACACCTGATCAAACGCATCCAGTGCAGACGGGTCATAAAATCTTTTTAGGGGAGTGAAAACATGTGGCTTGTTATCTCCCATAAACAATTGCTTCCAGCATTTTAGAAACTACCTGTCCTTGGGCAAGGGGCTTGCTGATCAGAGGCATTTTTGTTTCATGGATCTCTAAGGCATAGTAATTAAAACTAAAAATGTAACTTTGGCTCTCACCCTCCAAACTCACAGATATCTGCCTGTTCTGCCTCCAAAGTGATGGGGCTAAAGCCATGAACCATAATACTAGCTCTAGTTTTTTGTTTTTGTGTGTGTGTGTGTGTGTGTGTGTGTGTGTGTTTTAAAGGCCAGGTGTTGGTGACATATACCTTTAATCGCAGAACTGGAGAGGCAGAGGCAGGCTGATCTATAAGTTCCAGGAAAGTCAGGGCTATACAGAGAAACCATGTCTGAAAAACCAATAAATAGATAGATAGATAGATAGATAGATAGATAGATAGATAGATAGATAGATAGAACACAAAACAACAACAAAAAAAGACATTTCATTATTTATCTGTATTTTATTCAGGCATGAGTGTGTATGCATTCATGCATATGGCTGTGTGCAAGTGTCCACAAAGGTTATAAAAGGCCCTTGGGTCTCTTGGATATGTAGTTACAAGTAGTTGTGACCAAATATTACCATACGGGTGCTGGGATTTAAATTCAGATCTTCTGGAAGAGCAAGTGTTCTTAACAGCTAAGCCATCTCTTTGGCCCCCAAATCAGATTTAGGGTGAACTGACACCACTGGGTGACATCAAAAAAAAGAGAGGACACTAATGGGTTTTTCTGTCCCACCCCCCACAATGTTTCTCCAATGCCAGAAGCCAGAGCAAGCCAAATTGAAAAATTATAATAGGTTCATTTGAGCAAAGCAACATCCAGGTGAGTTCTCCAGTCCCAGAGATTGAGGCTGGAGAAGCTGCACCCTACCCCCGACCTAAAGCAGGGAGATTTTATAGACTATAGTCGAAGGTTGATGATGTGTCTGCCACAAGCTGGGTTTGTGCCCAAGTGTGGTCAAAAACTGAGCTCTGATCCCGGGTCTTCGGCAGAGACAATTTCAGGGGAGGAAGTTGCGGTAGACGCCAAGAATACAGAACTGGGTTTATGGGAGCCTTTCCTTTGTTCAGAGACTCTCTGAGTAGATGGGATTTGGAGAGAGACAGGAATGGGGCCTTTTGTGGGGGGGGCACAGAAGTTCCAACCGAATACACACAATTGACACAAAAAGGTGTCTGGGCCAAGTGTGGTGGTGGTGTGTGTGTAAGTCCAGCACTTGGGAGAAGTGCCATGTAAGTGCTAGGAACTGAACCGGGTCCTCTGGAAGAGAAGACAGAGCTCTTAACCACTGAGCCAGCTCTCCAGCCCCCCAACCCCACCCAGTTCCTTTTGGGGGTTCTTAGTCTCATCAATAAACGAATTTAGTAACAGAC